TTTATTGATTTTTTACAGAGAGGAAGGGAGAGGGATAGAGAGTTAGAAACATCGATGAGAGAGAAACATCGATCAGCTGCCTCTTGCATGCCCCCCACTGGGGATGTGCCCGCAACCGAGGTACATGCCCTTGACTGGAATCGAACCCGGGACCCTTCAGTCCGCAGGCCAACGCTCTATCCACTGAGCCAAACCGATCAGGGCACCCCTTAGTTACCGTTAGAGAAGTCACCAAAGGATCCTCCAGGGGCGAGATGCTCATTGTCCTCCCCCAGCAGCCGACAGTGGCCCTTCCCACTCGCTTGCCTCTCCAGGAACAATGGGATGATGCTAAGGAAATACGAAATGTGCTGAGGCTTCTGAAAAGCCTCTCATTCTTCTTTCTCCCTTGGGAAATTATTTTCCTAACGTCTTGGTTTTGTAGTCTTGGATTCCCAAAGAGCTTTGTGTGAAACACATGATAAGCAAGGACTTCGGAGTCACCAGACTTGGATTCAGCGCTCAGCCTACCTTATCTGAGCAGGTCACCTAACCTCTCTGAGCAGAGATGGTACAGTGCCCCTGCTAGGCTTGCTGCGAGGGTAAAAGGAAGCCATGTCTAAAGGACTTAGCTCCGTGCCTGGGATAGTCAGACTCAATGAGGTGTGGCTGCTACTGTTCACTTAGTGGGATGCTGAGGTCAGCATAGTTTGGCTGGCACCAACTCTGTATGTCCGTTTTCAGTCACTCAATAACAAGTGTTTGCTGGGGCCCTACCATGTTTCTGTTCACCAGGGTAGCACTGGGGCTCCTGTGGAGACGTCCTTGCCTGTCAGTGACTTCCTGATGGCAAACAGCTTTTCCTCTTTTCCTTCACAGGGTCCCCCCCAAACCGCAAGCGTCCTCCTAATGAGAAGGCCACTGATGACTATCATTATGAGAAGTTCAAGAAGATGAACAGACGATATTGAGGGCGGCCCGACGGGAGAAGTTGCAGAATGGGATGTAAATAGCACTGTCCCTCGCCCCAGGATAAAAGCCTTCCGGGACAGAACCCTGATCACTGGCGAGCAGACAGTTCCAGAAACAGACTCTACTAGTCTGGCTGCTTCCCTGCTGAATTTTTAGGCTCTAAATTTTGAAACAAAACAATATGCGTTTTTCTTATTTGGGGGCAAACTATTCTTGTGAGCGTTATTAAATCTTGTTTGTAAATATGTTGACTTTTTCTTAATATTTTTCCTGGCTCAGGAGAAAAGAGCTGTGTGTTCAGGGTGAGATATGCCCTTTAAATTGTGCTTTTATTATTATATGTGTGATCATGTCTTCTACTTCCAATGATCTGGAATGGGTTCAGAAATGCATCCTTCCGTTTCCAGTGGATCCGGTGGACAGTAGAGAACTCTAGAATGGGATCAAAGGGACACTGGTATTCTCTGACTTTTACAAAGTTACCTATTTCTTTGCATTAAGAAGGAAAAGTTACCTGTCTCTATCACTTACGCACTTCGCTATTAAATATGAAATGAATCTAGCCTTCTTGTTCATTTTGCGTCTCCTCACACCGGTACCAGGCCATGTGTTCAGACTCGGGGGCTGGGCAGCTCAAAAGCTACCCATTTAGTTCAAGAGACAGACAAGCTCCAACCTGTTAGCTGTCGAGTTCAGTGCCACTTGTGCTGTCATTTTGCTTGAAGCATTTGAACAGCTTGGGATGAGGAAATAACAGGCCGGGTGACTTCTGGGCTGATTTAGAGCGTGCACTGTGCAAGGTGAAGGCGAATGCAGGCATCGCTGTCTCACCTGGGACATAGGTAAACCTCCAAGTGAGTGAATGAGTGTGAGCAACTTTACGGTAGAGGAACCTGACGCCGGGAACGCAGCCAGGTGATAAAAGGTCGTCAGTAGTCCCAAGTCATGCTGGCAGTCTGCACCCTTGATATAATGTTACAGAAATAGCACTTTTCCTCTGTAAAGGACATGCACCCCACACCCATAACCCCAGTCTAACCGTGAGACCAACGGGGCAAATCCCAATAGTGGGGCCGGGCGTCCTACGAAAGGTTTGACCAGTTCTCCCCCAAACTGTCAGGGTCATCAAAACCAAGGAAAACGTGGGAAACACCCACAGTCAAGAGGAGGCTGTAAGTATAATGTGGTGCCTTAGGTGCGATCCTGGATCAGAAATAGGCGATAGGTCAAAACTAAGCAAGTATCCGAACCAACTGGTATCAGTATAGGTTCCTATGTAACATAAAGATGTTAGTAACAGGGGGACTATGTGCCGGGTGGGGCGGGGGGGCATCTGTGCCCTCTCTGTACTGTCTACTCAATTTTTCTGTAAAACTTTTCTTAAAACTTGAAAAAAATAAAAAGCGGCCCCATCAGCTGTGGGCGCCCACCTCCCGGAAGCAGGAAAGGACGGTGCCCCTCACAAAGATGGCGCCGCCGGCGTCGCGGGCTGTCCTTATTGATCAGTGCCAGATACAACCTCAGAGAAGGAGATGGAGGGAAGAGAAGCAGAGTAGAGATGTGACTAGACTTTGGTTTGAGCAAAGATCAAGTTTCTGTCTTTCTGTCTTGTTTTCTTTTGCTTTAAGGGGCAACTTCCATAGCCAGGAGACTCTTTAAGAGGCTGACATTTCTTACCCTTCTGTGTGCTTTTTTCTGTTTCCTCCACTCATCCTAGCAAGTTTACTTTTTCACAGTTCTATTCAGAGAAGGAAGAGTCTTTTGAATCTTCCTTAGTGATTTTTCCCACCATCATTTATATCAGCTTGCATCTTTATTAAGTTATCAAAGATCAGAATCCGGCAGAGGGTCCAAAGAAAGATGATGACTGGAAATGAGATGATGATATTCAGTCCCGTGGACTCCTGCCTGCCTAGATTTCTTTCTGCTGGTCCTGTGTTACATGAATTTGATTCCCTTGCTGCTGTCCTCTTCATGTGATTTACGGAGCCGGTGCCCGGAACCTTTCTGAAAGCCGCCCCTCCCGCCCTGACGGCCCTGCCCTGCCCGGCCCTTCCCAGCGCTGCAGAAGGACCTGGACCACAAGCTCTTCGGGCAGCATCTCGCCAAGAAAGTCATCTTAAACGCCCTGACCGGCTTCATCAGCAACCCGAAGCCCAAGAAGCCGCTCACCCTCTCCCTGCACGGGTGGACCGGCACCGGCAAGAACTTTGCCAGCAAGATCATCGCGGAGAACATCTACGAGGGCGGCCTGCACAGCCACTATGTGCACCTGTTCGTGGCCACGCTGCACTTCCCGCACGCCTCCAACCTCACGCTGTACAAGGCAAGCGCGGCCACAGCGCGGCCGGGAGCCCTTCCGGGGGGCGCTGCCTTCGGGGTTTCTCGGTTGTCGGGTGGGGTTGGGGAACTGCTTGTTAAGATGAGGAAGCCCTGAAAATGGCCGCGTGTGGCAGCCGCAGAGGTTTCAGACGCACCGAGCAGTTGCACCTGCAAACCCTGCGGTTTCCAGAATCAGGCCCAGTGTGGTGCTCGTTTCAGTCCGTGGGACCAGGGGATTTTAGAAATGGACACGGCCAAATCCGGCTTGAAGATCATCAGGTCTAACTCATTTTGTAAAAGAGGGAGCATTTCTAGAGAGGCCTCAGTTTGCCTACCTGCAGTTGGCAAAGTGCTTTTGTTTTCTATCACCGGTTAGCAGCCTGGCTTTAGCTGCAGACACGCCTGGATTTGAGTCCTGACTCTCCCACCGGCCGTGGGATCTTGGGAAGGTTGCCTGACCTCTCTGAGACTCATCGGCCTGTCACGTATGTGTCCCGGCACCTGGCACATGAGTGTTCAAATAAGCGTTAACTCTCACCTTTCTTAATCTGTGTAACAAACCTGCGAGGTGACAAGACACAGCCATTTCGCCCTCACCCTTGAAAAACACATTTTCCCCTTCTGCTTGGGTGACCAACCGTCCAGGGTTCCTAGGATGTGGGATTTTCAGTGCCAAACCTGGGCAAGTTCCAGACAAACTGAGGCAGGTTGGTCATCCTGGGTAGCATTCAGGCTCCACTGCTTAATAGCTGTGTGATTTGGGGCAAGTTACTTAACCTCTCTGTGCCTTCACTTCCTCAGCCGTAAAACAGGGAGTGCAGCAGTGGTCAGTTGTGCACACATGTGATTGGTTTTGGGAGATCACAATAAAAGGTGATGGGAACAGTGCTCAGAGCGTGGCTGACCTGTAGTGAGGGTTCAGTACGTGTTCTCTGTTACTGCCTAAAGTCGCAGAGGCAGAGTGGGAGAACTAGCAGATCTGAGCGAGTCCTTGTTTAAACAGTGACTTGCTTTGGGGCCACACGCTCTCCAGAGGTTTCTCTGTGAATAGAGACTAGTCCTCCTGTAGAGCAGAACTACTACTTGGGTTAGATTCGTACCATGGGACGTTGTAACGCTGGTCACTGTAGCCAAGCAGACACCAAAATCGTAAGAAGCCAAGACCTCCAGAGTCTTGCTCAGAAAACAGCGCGTTTCTCCTCTCCACCTTGTGAGGGAAATTTAGAAAGCACCAGAGCTCAAATTTCTGATTAAAAAGGTCTTTTCTCCTTAACGATGGCTTAGTCTCCTAAGAAGTACTGAGCATGTTCTTAGGGAGCGTTTCAGTTTAAGCACAGCCTCCGGGCCTTGTTCCAGAAACTCACGAGTGTTAGCTGGCCACACGCACGCCAAGGCGCGAGCTCCCGAGGTAGGTGCCCACTTAAAGGAGCCTGCATGCCTCACTTTCCCCTTCGGAAGCTGGAGCGCCCTCCCAAGGCTGTGCTAAGGACCGAATGGCAGCCTGGGTCTCTGGGTCTCTTTCTTTCTAGAAGGCTGGTGTACGCAGGAAATGTGTGAACGTGGCCAGCAGTTCAATGCCAGAGCATTGGGTGACAGCTCAGCACAGGAATTATAATCCAGGTGTGGGGCTTTGGAGTCAGGCAGGGTGGGGTTCAGATCCCAGAAATTTTATAATCTTGGGCAAGTTGATTAAGCGGTCTGGCCTGTTTCCTCGACTGTGAAATGGGTATGATAACACCCACTCGGTGGGGTTGTGGAGAGGAACAAAAAAGCAGGTGTCAGGTTCTTAGCACGGAGCTGAGACTAATGAGCTCCGTAGATGCAGCCTTTCGGCAGCAGCTGAGGCGTCAGTGGTGCCCGTGCCGGGGGTCGGAGCTGCGCCGGCTGAGAACTGTGTGTTGCTCCCCCTGTGATTCAGGATCAGTTACAGTTGTGGATCCGCGGCAACGTGAGCGCCTGTGCGAGGTCCATCTTCATATTCGATGAAATGGATAAGATGCACGCCGGCCTCATAGATGCCATCAAGCCTTTCCTAGACTATTATGACCACGTGGACGGGGTCTCCTATCAGAAAGCCATCTTCATCTTTCTCAGGTACGTTCGGGCTGGGGCACGCCGCAGAGCTCGGAGCCCGAGCTGTGGGCTGCGGGGAAAGCCCAGCTCTCATTCCCTGCGCTCGCCCTGCAGCAACGCCGGCGCGGAAAGGATCACAGACGTGGCTCTGGATTTCTGGAGGAGTGGGAGGCAGAGGGAGGAGATCAAGCTCGGAGACATGGAGCACGCCTTGTCGGTGTCGGCCTTCAATAACAAGAACAGTGAGTTCATGAGCCCGCGCCCGAGGCTAAGTCCCCGCATCCCCTCCCCGGCTGGGCGGTTAGACACGCAGCTGCTGAGAGCTTCTGCAGGCCTTTCTGAGCGGAATCTGTTGGAGAGGGAAATGGTTCGTCCTGGAGCTCTTGAAATGAGTTCCTGTTTTCCTCAGCTCAGTTGTTTCCTTTGTTGAAGAAGAGCCGATGGTTGAGCAAGGACGGCTGCTGTGCGCACCTCTGAAGGAGGAGATGGCCCGTTAGGGCTTTTCTGTCTGTGGGTGGTCCTGGAGCTCTGAGGTTCTGTGCCTGAGGCTAACAGCCAGGGGCGGGGCCTGTGTTCTGTCCTGAGCCCTGTGCGGAGCCCTCTTCCTGCATCCTTCCTGTAATCTCACAGTAACCTCAGGGGAGAAGCTATTCACTGCCATCCCCATTTTACAGATGAGGAAACTAAGGCACACGTCCACACAGCCTGTTACGTGACCCTGGTTCCAGAGCCCGAGCTTTAACTACCAAGCTCATTGCTCTTCCCGTGAACTTCACACCGTAGACCTTGAGCCCATGGAGGTGGAAAGCCACCATGATGGAGACTGGCCTGGTGGTAAAACCTGTGAGCCCTGCAGTTGACCCTGACCATTCAAGTCTCTGCTCTGCTTGGGTTTGTTCTTGAGATTACAGAGCAAAAGGTCTCTTTCGAAAGAGACTTGCCAAGAAATTCACACTTCTGTAGAGTCTGGGATATTTTATGTCCGTTTGTGCAACTGGAAGGTCACTGATGAAAGAGAGAGTATTCCATAATATGTTCACTGGTTTCTTGGTGTGCCACAAGGTGGACACGTGCAATGGAAACTTCGCCCGATTCTGCAGCAGGTGAGACAAGGTGCCTAGAAGGGGGTGCCAGGGCACAAGCTGAGCTTTGGAATCTGGCAG